TATTGCGATAATTACGGTTTAAAAATAAATCTAAAGAAAACCAAATACAAGATAATACCAAAACCACAATATTATATAGAGTTGAATAGCTGATACTTAATACGGAAATTGAACGATTTGTAGCTGCAAATGCCTAGGAGCAATGACCACAGGCATCGTAGATCAAACGAAAGAAATTAGGAATGCGTATAGTCTTTAGCAGAATGACAAGACATTTTTATTCGCAATATAGACATAAATTTAGGGATTCGAGTGCTTAGGTGATGTGTCTTCTCTACCTTATAGAGCTGAGGTGTGGCCGATGAAATAGTCAAATATAAAAAATGTGCAGGCATTTGGGAGGTGGTGTTACCGACGCGTTCTGAAAATATTATGGATGAACCGTATAACAAACGCCCAAGTCCAGCAATGGCAAGATAATAGCTGCGAATTACTCACTGGAATAAAAATAATAAAGCTGGATATCTAGAACACAAGATGTAGGTAAGGCAAAATTAAAGAAAAAAGTTATGGTCGCGCGAGCTGCGAGAATAGTTTGGATGGACTTCGATTGAACTTCTAAACGTGCAGCTAATAAAGTTGTGGTTGATATGATAGTTTCCAATGTCCAATAGTAGTGCTGCGAGAAGAAAAAATACTTACAATACTGACTATAAGCAGAAGAAGTTCAGTTCAACATATTTCTACGAGCTTACTCAGTACTTGTTTGAGTATGACCATATTTATGGATGGATGACTATGCCTACGTGTTACTTAAACTATTTCATGAATAAAAAAACGGGGAACTGTCATAATTAAGGTTGGTGCGAAACAAGTTTCCAAGTATATCTACACAAGATGTGAGGAAGTGTCGACAAGTTTATGGTGATTATTGAAAGATTTTTCACAGCTTGTCTGCAAGGGTCGTCTGAAATTAATATACCGCCTTTGCTTGGGAAGTTATTAAATTCTGTTTGCTGAGTAATCAGATTTTGAAAGGATTAGTAATGGGTGTTTATTTTTAGTCATCTTTCTGGGAAAAATTTGCTGCGTGATATTTCCTAATACAATATTAAGTAGACTTAATTGCTTGGACAGATCCTTTCTTTCTAAAATAGCTCATCTATGTTTTACAGATATACAAGATTATTTATCTAAGCCCAGAATATCAGATGTTATATGTTAGGCACTACGGACCAGATTTCAAAAAATTTTAAATTTTGCTCAATAAGCAAGTTGCCTACGGCTAACGTTAAACTACTCAAAAAACCTCAGGCCGCACTTTTTTACCTTGTTTACAATTTGTCAAGATGTACATGGAACACAGCACAAAATTTCAGGGCTGAAATTATTTTTTATTCGGTTGTATTTTATTAAGTGAAACGCCCTGTATTTATACTAGAAATTTATTTTTGTTTCGCATAAAAAATAGTAGTAAGTTATATAAATAAAAGGCAAAATTAAAGTTGTGCATACGAATTACTTTTTTTGGTATTTTTTTCAATGAGTTCTACTTAAAAAGGAAACGGCATCTACTCGTAGTAAGCGAATTTGCTAAGTTTGAGCTTCCAGGCCAACTTGAAGATAACTTAAAAATTGAGGAAACAATCAAGTGCCAGAGTTGACATTTTATTGTGATGTTAAGGTGAGCATGAAAACCTAACTATGCAGAAAATGCTGAGCCGGCCCTGTATTTTAGATTTTTTGCATTCATATCATAATTTCAACTTAGTCTGTAGTCTTAGGTGAATGCATTGCATTTAAAGCAGAACTCTATTGGACAGCATCATTTAGTCTAATTAAACTATGAAAAAAGTACCTAAAAAAGTAAGCTACATAAACTGGTGAAAATAGTATCTCAACAAATAAAAATGCTTGATTAAATAACCAAAATACGCGCAATCAGCCTAATTTGCTGATTAATAAGCACGATTTGCTGGCTTTTATGGTACATACGTTTCGTTATTGAGGTAACTTTGTTATCAGGCAAAGTTTCATCAAACTAGGTTTGATGTGCCTGAGAAATGTGATATTAAGGATTTGGCGTGTTTATATGGGATATCCATTAAAAATGAGCTCAGAACTCTCTATTTTACAGATAAGGTAATGTCTTGAATCATACAACCCTGAAACAGATGTATCCTATAGAAAATTGAGAGGAGCAATCGAGACATAACACAGATGTCCTTTTATTGCTTCACATTAGAAATTGAACACTTCACAATGGAACTGACAGATTTTTGGTATTTGTGTTATGTGGTTAGTATCGTGCCTTGGTTTACTGTCGTAGTTCTCTGTCGCAGTTTGCGCGCAGAACTTTAATGTTTCTCTTTTGCCTACGCACTACGTAAGGTGGAAAACATACACACAATATGCTTATTAGACTCAAAAACAGTCCACAAACACTTCGTCAGTATGCTTAAAAACACTCGCAAGAGGATACCGTAGTAGTTAGTTTTCCGTATAATTTCACGACACTCTGCACCCCGCCAGCTTGCCATCTTCAACCCAAGCGTTTGCTTCATACGCAATAGTATTAGGTGGCCAGGGAATGCTGTCAATATAATCTACCAGGAAGGATGCAATAACTCAAAGCTCAATGCATCCGTACATTAATCCCTTAAAACATTGGAACAGAAAAGGGTCACTTCAGCTGCCAATACTGTGGACAAGCATGTGCCAATCTGCGGACCTAATCGACTGGAATAATTCTGTCACTTTGGACTGGATTTGGGAGGATATAGAATAGCATTATAACAATGGATAATGATTTATTTATTAAACTTTAGAGTTGAAAAAAACACTTCTTTGCGTATATTCAAAGTTTTAGCGTACCGATGTAAGTGGTGAAAAAATAGTTGTAGTGGGTGAAAGTACCTTCAAAATAAGATTCAAAACGGCCAATTTGGCGTTAATGTTGAATTGTTATTAGAAAAAAAGTCACAAATCGTCAATCTCTACATTTATTTTTAACTGAACATACGCTGTCCACGTGTCAGCATATAACATTATTCCGTTTGGAGGTATAGCCCTAAGTATTATTAAAGAAGATCATTTCGCACTGAATCACCTTATTTATTCACACGCTTGCGGAACTATAGGAAATGTAATATTTTCGAACCATCTGTGATTCTTCATCGTCAAATTTATGTCACTCACCTCCATCAGACTCCCTATTTGTAATCTTGTCACCGCAATACTTCGACAACCGTTGCAGCAGTTTTAATTACTAGTTCAGCTATTATAAGTGAAATTTGTACTAATTATTTGTAGCTTTGACGTTAAATTTCTCGTACACTGTTGGCCGTATGGTAAACTTGTATAGCGTCAAAATTATGGAGAATTTGTCCTAACAATCAATGACAGTGTCACCTCTTCGCACTTCATACATTTTCTACACCACGAATTATATTATCGACTATAAATCGCGATCATGTAGGCCACACCAGCACCCTCAAACTAGGTGTCTTGCTGAATGGATGCCGACCGCAATCGTGGAGGAGGACCTGCAATTATGGAAAGGAATTCCGCATTTTGGCCGCAAAGTGACAAAGCCTCGACTACGACTGTTAAATATAGTAGGTGCCGCCGGGGTTGTATTGGATCCCAGCAAAAGTTATTCTCCCAGAGCGTCACCAGTTCTTGATGCAACTTCGATTAAGGAATTTCAAATATTATAATACTGAGTATTAAATTATTAGCTGCTGCAGTTCTATACTGAAAAAAAATCAAACACGTGATGTTTTTTGCACCGTGCACTACCGGCAACCGATACTCAAATTTTCGCCGAGAACGGGAATAGGGGAAGATGGATGTGACGTCATCCAAATGTCAAAAAAATCACGTGGTAAGGGTAACCGTCTAACGTTTGTGAGGTACTAGCGGGTGACAGGTCTTATGTCAATGTCATTTAAAAAACAGACATGTCAATTGAAAATTTGTCTTCGTAGTTCCGAAAAATGAGTTAAATTATTAAATCATAAATGGAGAAACACGTCCACCTGATTTTAAATGACGAGGGAGAAGGTCGTCGAAGATATCGGAACCGCATTTGTTATATCAAATGCTTGATTTTTATTGATATATATGTACATTGCACAAAAAACGATCGACATTTTTAATTTAGAGGCCTGAGTAAAGATAACATGGCCACGCAAGACAACTATTGAAATATACTCTACTAGACTATCTGTAGCTAAATTTTTCTCGAAATCGTTGCACAATACTTAAAAATATGCAAATGAATATTGGAAAACTGCCGCATTGGCGTTCTAAACGACTCCGGCGTTACCCCGGGATGGACATACGTTTTGAAAGTTGATCTTGTCATTGTTGTCACCTGGATTGCGGCGTTGTCAGCTCATCGGACGATTTTGCTACCTCTGCTATCACCAATTCCTTGGACCTTCTGTCCGAGGCCTAGCTAATAGTTTTGAGATTTTTCAGGAATGAATGTAAGTACATAAGATTACTTTCAAGAACGTTAGATTAGTGCACGTTTCTGTAAATTTCTTTTTATAATAATGTATTACAGAGTTGCCAAGATAAGGATCAGACTTGGTTAAACTCAGTAATCACACAACCTTACATCAAGTCTTTGTTTATAAAAAGCTGCTATTAGATACAGTGTAGCACTTTTTCAAAAGCACCATCACGTAGTGCCATTAGTTTTTTGACATTTATTAAAATAAAGTCAGACAAAAATAAAAACTATTTGGGCAAATTTTAATTTTTCCTAAATATCGCAGTATATGACTAATTTCTCAGGGTATGCAATGTGCGCAATTTATTTTAAAAAAACATAGGATGTCAACCCTTACACATAAGTAGATGAGTATGCAAGGCTCACCTAGTTTCCTGCACAGATATCCTGTTTCCCCTCAGAAGAGTCGGAAGTAGACCTAATTTCCACTTTGGAAACACTTGACATCAATGTCACAGCACCGAAACACCAGTGAGAGACAATCGAGAACCCTATAGTGAACAAGACTACTGAAAAAAGTAGCTAAACCGAATAGGGCTCAGTACGGAGCTGTGAACGCGTCGACATTGCGCTGCGCCGACTGTTGCCGAGAGACTGAAGCGTGCGAGTGCTGTACCTCGCTGTGGCGATACGGTACGGCTGGGTAGTACAGCCACGCCCCTTTCCTGCTACCACTCCGCGCGTCTGCTCCCGAAGCGACTCGATGTTTACGTTGACCGGTAGCACTCACATGCTTCATTCTCTCGGCTACCGTCGGTGCAGCGGAATGTCTGGGCGTTTACAGCTCCGTGCAGAGCCCTATTTGGTTTAGCTACTTTTTTTCAGTAGTGGTGTTCACTATACCACTATAGGGTTCTCGATTGTCTCTCAATATTCCTTCGGTGTTTTAGTATTGTGACGTGGGTGTCAAGTGTCTCCAAAGTGGAAATTAGGTCTACCGCCAACTCCTCTGAGGTAAACAGGATGTCTGCGCAGCAAACTAGGTGAGCCTTGCATACTAATCTAGTTGTGTGTTAGGGTTGACATCCTATGTCTTTTTTAATAAATTGTGCACATTGCATACACTGAGAGAGTAGCCATAGGCTGAGGTATATCTCAATCCACAGATCAATATTAGTCAAAGAATCACTTTCAAAGCGACTCATTTTCACTACATAAGCTGACTAGCACTGTTTAAACACAATATTATAAAATTTAGCTTAGCGGCGTTTTCTGCTGTCCCAGGAGGCCATAATTACCTGTTATCAAAGGTATTGTAATTTTTGGTGACAACAGCTGACAAATTTTGCAGCGGGTAAACTGGAAAAAATTCTGATAGGTACTGTGATACAATTTGTCCATCTAGAAACCATTTGTAATTCAAAATTCTGCGTTTGTGATTGGTAGAAATTAAGACAAGGGAAATAGTCGTCACGAAATCTGCAGGATAAGTTTCAGATGCTACATTAACACAAAAACTGGTGCCACGGCTTGACTTGTGTTTTAATGTTTATGGTAGTTTGTGATACAATTTACATTCATAAATAAAATTTCTCTGACTGGATTACAAAACGGTTCTTACTTAAAAAATGACCCTCATATAAACCATTACTCCAATGCTATTTTTTTAGCTTAATAACTGTGGCATGCTGACAATTTTCGATTGTACAAATAAAGCCGAAATTGTGGAACCACTTGATTTTTCTTCAGCTGATACAATTAATCTTAGCAGTGACGGTTGAGGTTTTCTAGGGTTTTCCTCGCCCAAGTGCGAATGCAATCACTAAAAACCATATTCCCCTACTAAATAGGAGAGAAAATGAAAGTCGAACTTCTCCTATTAATGATCATGTAATTTTAGATCAAACACTTAATAAACATATTTATATAATAAAAAAATGTTTTTTTCCCAATGGCTGGAAAAAGTATTTTATCCTATAAGACTGGGCATTTAGGTTTATAAAAGTGTTCAGAGACATTAACGTTCCGCCACATAGATGCCAGGCGACGCAAAATGTAAATATGTTTAATTTAGTTTTTTGGGTAACATTGCTACGCCTCAAATTTTATATATATCCATTGGTATCCCTCAATGTTTTATTCAGAGCTTCTTTTTTATATAACATTCTAGCAAAACATCAGAGGTGACAAAATTGCCCGATGAGCTTGCAACGCAGCAATTTAGGTGACAAGGATGACAAGGTCAACTACTAAAATGTATGTCTATCCCGGGGTAACTACGGAGTCATATAGTATGTCAAAGCAGCAGATTTCCAATCTTCATTTGCACTTTTTAAGCGGTGTGCAACGATATCGAACAAAATCGTATCGAGGAACACGCCAGTTGTGAGCAAAGCTAGATTAGAGCAGTGAGTCTCAGTAGAGGATCGTCATTGCTCCACTCATAATTAGGTAACGTAGTGGTGAGGAAAATTGTTGCGTGTTCGTAACAATCTTGCTCTACAAAAGTTAAACATATCGTTTTTAGCTGCGGGGTTCCTTATCGCTCAGTGAACTGAGACTTTGCGTTTCAATGACGCAACGCCTAGGAGGATATAAAACAGGAAATATATCTCAATAATATTTCGTTCTATCCTACTAACGAAAATTTTCTGCGACAGGTCTATTTAAATATTCATATAGCACGCTCCGAGTTAATGCAAAATATTCTAGAGACTCCCTTTTCTAACATAAATCAAATGTAATCCGGTATACGAATAACTGGAATTCCCCGGAAACATGATAAATTCTAAACGATACACTTTAAAATCTCCTTTGGACTGCTTGCCAGTATTCTTTCCACTCTGAAACACAGAAGATTCGTCTGGATATCAACGCCATTTGTTTCGTTATTGTTCTCCTAAGATTGATTTTATCGTTAGACGTTTTCTTGAATTGCGTTTCAGCACAAATGGTGGCATTTTGTTATCGTAACAATGATAGTGTCAGACAGAATGGTTTATAAAAGCAGCATTGAGTTCATTATAGGGTGGGAATTGTCCTGCTGAAACAACTCCGACCAAATATCCATTAATTGTCTATCTGTCGTAGCCCATCTCATGAAATGGCCATTTAAATTTGACCGTAAAATGGACTGTGACGAAACAAAAAACCCACATAATACCCGAGCACCTTATTGTTATTCAATCTCACTTTCTTCCTGGTCTAGTAGCTAATTATTAGAACTTTCAGTTCCATTGATAACTTGGTTGTTAACTGCCGTTCTGTTGACACATAAACAAAGTGCTCCCAGTACCTCTATCAGTAATCGATGTATTATTTTACGATTTGGTCAACCAACCTTGAGCATATTTTATCAAGAAGTAGCCGCGAATAAGTTGATTATATCTGTAAATGATTCCTTATTATCGATCTGGTCAATGCACATCATGATCTGGCCAATAAATAATAATTACATGATCAAAGCAACTAATCTGTAAGTGATGTTCGATCATAATTATGTGAAGGCTTCGTCAAAGTAAATAGAATAGGTGTATACCCCCTTTCCCGGCAAAACTCACGGTTCCAAAGCGTGCAGGAATCTCTCTCTTCTCCGGCCCTGGGCCTACAAACTGTCACTTTCTTCAAATTCAAGTTGTTGCAACAATTGGGCGATACATAAGGCGCATTACAAGCAAATCGCGCAACCACATAATTGTGTTTAAGGTGTGGAAACTTGGTTTACCTCAAATGCCGCTTCACCAAAGTTATTGTTTGGCATAAGAGGTTTGTGAGGTATCTCAGAAAACGCGCTCCAGCCCGCCGTGAGTCTGAGCGTACTACAGTCTAGCCGGCGAAGAGCTATACACGTTTCGTGAACGGTGGGGTGTCAATTGTGACACGCCTAAGTTACTGCTGAAACAGACTTCATACAACTACATAATAGTGTAGGCACAATCATAAAGTTTCTTTACAGTGACAAATAAACACTTTGGCTGCACAGATATTTGGGCGTAAAATATGGTAGAACTAAAAGTGGTTGCTATCAGAGTGTACCTCAAGGGCTTTCAAAAATTGAGAAATCCCAATTTCAATATTGTACAAGCCTGTCGTCTGCTTCAATTAGGAGCAGAGTTTGCACACTCTATCCTGAAGTTAGGGCTAGCAGTGTTGCTGATTTCCTCATCCCATTATCTACACAGTATCTCAAGTGGGCCCACATTTTGGTTGAGATGGTCTCAACCTGTAAACGCCCTTCAAAAACCATCTTATGCCTGCATCGTTAGTAGCACTTTGGGTAAGAGACAGATAGCTGACTTATAGCAAATCAAACGGTATAACCTATCTTAATCCCTGATGAAACTGTGAGAAATTTCGAGGTATTGGTTATCAAGGTAGAAAAATATACGAGTATTTCTTCCCGACATCATATGATGGATTGTACTCGTAGATGGTGATCGGATTGACAGCTTTCCAGGGACGACAACCAGGGTAAGCTTCAGAACTAGTGGGAGCAGGGTCCTGTGTCCCTCCACCAGGATACAATGGCTTCGCACTTTGCGTTACTCCTAAAAGCGAAATTTCAGGGACACCGAACACATGAACCAATATCAGGATGGTGGCAAGCGGAGCTCCCACTCCGTTTCCACGACCCATTGACGCAAAAGCATATCTCTATCAGTATTACCCCTGATTTCATGCTTGACGTGAGGAAAGTAGGTTTCTCTCTTTGCATAACTGCCATAGCTTTCCCGCAACCTGGTCCAGGCGTGGAAACTGGAATCTCCCCATTCTATTGTTGGATATAGTTCACGAATTATCAGTGGTGTATACCCGCAATATTCGACATCCCCTTAAGTCGCCAAGAAAGCTGCCAGTAGTTCCAGATGATTGGCATGCGGGATCTTCTTCTCGGGTGACCAAAAGGCATGATTCTTTTGTTCTGCCCAGCGAATGTCCCAGCCCGAGAAATTATCAACAGAATATCGGATGATTCAATACCGCTGACCGCACCTGCCAGTTTCTTTGAGCGCCAGCCGAGGTGCATACGATATTCGTAAATACCCGACGCGTTATCTTAATCATTTGATTCTGAAATTTGAGGATCTAGACTGCTTTTCGAAATCTAGATGGTAAATAAAAGAAAATATGCGTGGTTTAAGTAACCTGTCAGAAAACTATCTATATAAAACAATAATTATTATTGACAATGATATTCAATGTATGATGACCAAGTCGAAGGAAGATGTCAAGGCAAGTAAATATGTTGTCAAACTTTTTAACGTTTTTTAATCTATAACTTAGGAATTGCCAAAATTAAGTAGATGCATTAGACCTTTATAGCCGAAATATATAATTTCATTCAGCAGCAAATATTGTCAAAAGTAAGGGGTTAAAAATAATAAACTACTTTAAGTGACATATAAATCCGAACACCCAGTTTAAATGGTTTTATTTTAATAAAATTTTGTATAAGTACTTAACGAAGCATAATAAGTAAATGATAAAAATTTCAAAATGATTGCACTGCTTTAAAGCCCTTTGACCTTTAATAATGTGTGGATGCACCCTGATGTGCTACGCATTCTCCAACGCGCCTAGGCATCCTTCTGATCAGGTGGTCAATGTCCTCCTGTGGTATCTCATTCCAGGCAACCACCAACTCCTCTCGAAGTGCTTCTAAAGTCTGAGGAGGACGTTGCAAATTGAGCAATCTCCTACCCATCATATCCCACACGTGCTCAATTGGAGATAAGTCGGAAGATCTTGGTGGCCATGGTAACAATATGACATCATTATGTTGAAAGAAGTCTATTGTGACTCTTGCAACATGTGGTCGGGCATTATCTTGTTGGAAAGTTGGATCTCCCAGGGTGTCAAGATAGGGTAAAAGATGGGGTTCTAGAACGTCGTGGATATAACGCTGCGCGTTCATGTTACCTCTGATGAAGATTAAAGGTGACCTGGAACCATAAGCTACAGCACCCCAAACCATAACTCCAACAGTGTGATGAACATGTCTTTCAACAGAAAACTGTGGATTCCTCCTTTCACCACGTCGTCTTCTAACCCTGGCACGACCATCGTGCATGCCTAAACAAAATCGAGACTCGTCACTAAAGACAATACTGTTCCATTCCTGATCCCAGAGTGACCGTTGTCTGCACAACTCAAGGCGATTACGTCGGTGTTCTCGAGTTAAAGGGAGGACCCAGTGTGGCCGGTATGAAAACAAGCCAAAACTTCTCATTCGTCGGTAAACACTTCGCATGCCAATAGGTCTTCCGTGTTCTGCAAACCATTCATTTGCAATGGACCTGGAAGTGGGGAAACGGTCTCTTAAGGCCAATAATCTTAGGCGGCGACCTTCACGGTCTGTTGTTCTACGGCAGCGTCCAGTGCCCCTTGCTCTTTGCGTACGGCCTTCTCGAAGCCATGCCTGACAACGCCTAACCACAGTGTCCACACTTCTTTGCACTCTAACTGCAGTTGCCCGAAAAGAAAGTCCAGCTTCCCGAAGTCCCACTATACGGCCCCTATCAAACTCACTAAGTTGACGAAATCGTACAGGTCTCCGTACTCTAGGCATCGTAACCGATCGTAAAGGATGTCAAGAACCAAAACCCGCCAACGTTGATTCTTTACTGCGGCTGAAATATTCATTTTTATAGCGTTAGTGAATTAAAAAAAAGCAGTATAAAAACCGGAATGTCCAACTGATAAGGCTGAAATTTTTTTACTTGTTATTTACAGTAAGATAAATACATTCACCAACTTTTATTAAAATAAAACCATTTAAACTGGGTGTTCGGATTTATATGTCACTTAGTATAGTTTACGTTGTTTATACCTATAATGTTGGTTTTGATTGATTTTTTTTCTGAAAATATTTTATGATGCAGAACGGTTTGTTTATTTAAATAAAATATACCTTTTTAATTTATCGACTTATTTTCTTTTATTTTGCTGTTCAGTTGCAGTTCTACCTATTCCTCTGATTCTGCATATGAAGCAGAACTTGGAATATTCTATCAATCATGAACTTGCATATTTAACCTACGTAAACGACTTACTTCCAGAATTTATCAAGTGAGTACTCACTACTAGTAGGTTCTATAAAAAATAGTGCCTTTTTTCATTGCTATTTTATTACCGCAAATCTACTACTAATACGCCACAGTAACATAGGGAATTCCCATTGTAAAGATCATGGTAAAGAAAATGTAAACAAACAAATAAATAACCATTTTGTTTCATTGAGTTTTTATACTAGTAAATAAATGATGGATAAGTCTGCTACGTCAGGTATAATACCTATATGAATGAAGCTACTTCGAGTGGAAACGTGTGCGGTACATAAGTCCGATACGTCTGGAATACATATATCAGGCTACTTCGGGCATATAACGCGTCGGGTATTTACGAATATGCAGCCGAGGTAGAGGTTAAGTGCAGAGGTTAGTGACATAGTAGCTCTGGTAGCCTTGGTGGGTTCATATTCTGGCTAATTTTTTTTGGGCTTTTTTAACAACAAATGAAAATAACCGAAAACGGTTATTTACTGACAACATGCTTGTATGGGAAATTATCAGGTATATTTCGATGCACGAGAGTAATTCGGTAGAATATTTCTCGTGTTGATAGAGTAAAAGTTCGATATTTATGCATGTCAAAATGACAAATGCAGGTTTCATCAATCGTAACTATAGACACGGACCTACAGGGAAACTTTCGATACCCACTGGGTAATTTTCACTGTAATTTTGCTCTAATTCCACACCTTTTATGACATTTTTTATGCATAAGGAAATTATTCGATAACATTGATCTTCGGAATAAGAACATGTTGAAACAAACCCAAAACCTTGTTCCCAGAATTTAAGAAATTGGAACAGAAATATCAGACCAGAGCGGTTTATAGATTATGTAAAGTCGCATATAGCTACTAAACCAGTACTTCCTTTCTATATCAACAGCAAGCTCAGCACAAGGAGAAAGCGTATCCCCACGTTCGTTTAGTGTCATACGCCTTCATTATCCTTGGTTAGATAGAGGCTATTCTTGTATAATCCGATCGACTCGACCGCAGCCGTGTAGACTTCGAGGCATGGAGTAACGTTTTAGAAATATATAATTAGATTAGATTGCCAATATATTGATTTGCAGGTTATACACTATCACTACTACAGTTGTAAAATTGGAGCATGAAAGGTGAGTATCTTTGTATCGGCTTCTCTCTAAAATGTCAAAAATCGTACGGAGACACTCTCGAAACTTGAAGGTACAAAAAAAGTGAGTTTCAGCATTTTCGCGCTACTCCGGTCTCTGAAAAGCGTTTGGACCCTTACGATGAGATATTCAATTCACAACTCGAATGCTTTCATTACTCTTACAATATTTTTTTAGCTGTTTTAAAATCATGCCTTTGTGGATTGAGGGAAGTGAATTACTTCATATAATTTGCGTTTTCAAGAGAACCGAAATTATGTAGTCAGTAGTCAGTGTGACAGTTTTTTTATGCCTGAACCACAAAGAGGGTTTACGTACGCATGGGTACTATGAGACTATAGGGAGATGAAGGGCAACGGTGGGGACGTCACGTGGACTCTAGGGAGGAAGCCGTCGCTACTATTTGGTGGAAACAACGTTTCGTATCTTTCACCTTCCAAAATCACAAATTCATCATTGTGTACGGTTAATAAGTATTCACCTTCATTTCTTTGACTTTATTTTTTTTCAACAGTAATAGCGGTTTACATAGCACGAGACTGGCCACTTGAGTATCTTTCCCAGAGAAGAGGCACAGTCACTTTGGTAGCATTGGTAGGCAAACCTACCAGAAAGTATGCATTGAAACTACGTAATTTTGCGACAAACGCTGCTATTCTCATTCTATTCGAGTTCTCCGGTCAGAGATAACATTCAACAAACCCGGAACCAATTATCTAACTATTTCCGAAAAGCACAAATACAACCACAAGCTCCACAGTTCAATTCCAGAGTGTAAGCTCGTTAAAACTTTTCAGCCAACAATAACTACGGAAAGCGTTAGTGCCACTAGCGCAGAATACTAGAGGAGGTGCTCTAGAGCCTTGTCTTCAGGTAAAATGTTGAGGAGGGTTACAAAACTTCAATCCTGCGAAGGAGAAAACTTTAGCAATATAGTAAACATCGTGTAGTCTAAGGAGGGAATTGCAACGAAATCGAAGTGTAGTTTATGCATGAGCATCATCCAATGTAATTATCATATGGTAGATGTTTTGGGTTTTGAGAGAATTGCTTCAAACTAGCACCGTTCGGATACTCAATGACGGAAAAGATTATACAGGGTGTCCGCGAAGTTGGGGTTTTCCTTTACACAACGTGTAGATCTTGAAAACATAGGCAATTTTTCTTAGTACCATATACACCAATGTCTTAAGGGAACCGAGATAAAGGGCTCTGCAACATCAAAAATATCTGAATACCGTCCTGTAGCCGCGACTCGCGACATCCCCAACTGGTACTAGGACACTAGCTCAACCCGACGACAGAACTGGGTCGGGGGTCGGGGTCAGTGTGTCAGGTCAGTATGCAACCTTCAACCGACGGTTACGGTCACGCGTGTAGAGGTAAACGAATCCGTATAATCGATTGCGTTTCAAAAAACAACAAGCACTAGAGACGTGGCTAGAGAAGTGCAAGTATAATAATAATAATAATAATGTTTATTTCCAACAGGCAGATACACCCAATTACAGGAAATATCAATAAATATCAATTAAGCACAGTAAACAGATACATAGATAAGAATTATAGTATATAGGTAAGTAATAATCAACCATAATATTCTACCTTAGAACCTTAGAAGTTCTTCAAGGTAAAGTTCAATAACGCGAGATTTAGTGACATTAAATATGTCGCAGTTACTGATACTATTGAATATTGTACACATCCTATGCACAGGAGACTTGGACAAGACATTAGTATGGCAGAAATCATAGTAAAATGTGGCACAATAACGGTTACCTAAGCGAGGAACATTAAAACGTATCTTACTTAGAATATATGGACAGTAAACCTTATTGTGGAGTAAATTGAACAAAAAAGACAGAGCAGAAATATTTCGGCGCACTTCAAGCGGTTTGATATCAAAAGTTTTGAGCAATACATTATGGTCGAAGCCTCTTTGTGGATAGAAACCATTGCATTTGAAGAACATAAACTTTACTGCTCTTCGTTGAATAGATTCCAATCTGCTAATAGAGTTTTGATAAGTTGGTGCCCATATAAGCGATGCATATTCAAGCTTGCTTCTGACGTATGCTAGATATAGGAGCTTGAGTGTTTCAACGTTTGAGAAACCTAACCAGTTTCTAACACAGTACCCTAGCATTCGGAAAGCAGACGATGTAATGCTATTTATATGATCATTAAAAGTGAACTTGACATCAAATGTAACACCTAGGTCCTTATAACTGTTACTCCTTTCTAACCTTACCTGATTAATACTGTAGTCATCATAAAGCATAACATTCCGTTTTCTGCAATACTTTACTACTTTACATTTTGACACAATTAGTGCGAGGAGGTTTTTGGAACACCATGAATTGATAGCTTCCAAGTTATTTTGAAGAAAATGACAGTCTTCGGAAGTTACGATATTATTATAAATTTTTAAATCATCAGCAAAAAATAAATGATGACATTTAATCTCAACCGACAAATCATTAATAAATATTAAAAATAATAAAGGTCCCAAGTTGACCCCTGGGGAACTCCTGAAGTAGCTATGTAGTTATTAGACTTATAACCACCATATTCTACAAATAGTGTTCTGTCCGAAAGATATGACTGGAGGAGCGAGAGTAGATTTTCAGAGAATCCTAAGTTTAATAATTTATGTAGTAATAAGCCATGGTTGACACAGTCAAAGGCTTTCTGTATATCTGTATAAACTACATCAATCTGGCCTTGATGAAGTATCAAAAACTAAAGTGTGGCAAACGCTGCGTGAAGAGGGGCTGTATCCGTTTCACGTCCAACGTGTACAAGCCCTTCAACCTGACGATTTTCCAGCAAGAGTGCGGTTTTGTGAGTGGTTGTTGCATCAACATGACAATAATCTGGACTTTTTGAAGTGCATATTGGTGATAGACGAATCTACGTTCACGCGTAATGGGGTGAATAACTTTCGCAACACTCATGTTTGGTCAGTAGAAAATCCGCACGCTGTCCGTCGGGCACATTTTCAATAAACATTTTCGGTGAATCTTTGGGCTGGCATGGTGAACGGTATGCTCATTGGACCATTTATTCTCTCAAATCGATTGGACGGGATGCAATACCTAGACTTTTTACGCAACATTTTGCCTTCCTTGTTAGAAGATGTGCCATTAAGTGTAAGACAATCAATGTGGTTTCTGCACGATGGTCATATTTGTTACTTCTGTTCGTGGTCTACTGGTCTGCACCACCGCCGGCGTCTGCTCGGTGGCGCATCCGCTGATTTCATTTTCTGTTGGAGCGGTATGATTTCGGGCAGAGACGTACTTAGCCCTTCTCGTCAACTGGAGAGTGAGTACTTTTTTCTTTATTTTTTTTTACTTGGTCGCCCTCGTTTCACTACACATTACCTTTGTTATTTGAAGGGTAATTGTTTCTGAAAAGGAAAACCCCAACTTTGCGGACACCCTGTATACTGCTAGACATGGGCAAAGGGAGACAGTGACTAAATTTTGTAGCGAAAATATGTTCCTAATCGCTGGATTACCCTAGTAATCTTCTGGACCAAGCCAATGCCGTATGTATTCCGTCCAGTCACCGGAGAATGCTTTTAATGAGGTGATTTATGTCTTCTTGAGGTACGTCATCTCAAGCCAGCTATATTTAAGTACTTCAAGATATTAAAGCAGATCAATTTATAAGTTACATTTGAGGTGGAAGACACATTGTTTTCCGGATATCCTGAAATCACTAAGAACCCCAAAAGCATGGTTGCCGAGTATGACTTTTCGGGCGTTACCGTAGGTCATACTGATTGAACTATGGAATTTGACAAAAGAAAATCATTGAAAAGGGTTTGGTCTAGAAATGGGCACTCTATAATCAATAAAGAGAAGTCATAAGTGATAAAAACAGTAAAAGCAAGGTTACGTGATTGTAGCACGTGACAAGGTCCATATTCGCCCGTTTATCGATGAAAGGGCTTGATGAGCGAAACACTGTAAGCAAACCAAATCAAATATGGCAACTTCCGCAAATACAATGATGTTTTATAGTCACAATGCTATAGGCTTTATGAAAGGCATGCAATAAGCAAGTTGACGTCATCCTAAATCCAATATGGCTGCCACAGCAAAATGGCGATATATAAGTGGGTATCAAATGAAAAGGCATCATTCTAAATTCCATATCATGATCACCGTAAAATATCTATTTATCTTTATATGATGTACATCTACCGAAATCTTACAATAGAAATTAAGTATATTATACTTATTCGTATATTCTTTTATTCAAGCTGCTATACAGGCTGTTCATATGAAAACGTCCCACGATAGATTTATCGAAAACCACTGATTAAAAGGAAAAACGCCGAGACACGTCAAAAGATTTGTCAAGGGGGACAACTTTTTAACCTTATACCTGTTTAGTTATTTGTTGCTGAGGATAAGAAAGAATTAAATTTGCTGTCAGTTACTTTTGTGACAATCTTGGGATAGAGAATATTAATTTATTGATACACATTTTACTTCAAAAGTGGTTTACACACTAGCCAAAAGAGTGGAAATGATTCTAATTTATGGTGCCCAAAATCAATGTGCTCGGCAAACTGCCATCACGTTTAACGCCAGACATGCGGGAAGGATAGGTATGTTTTGGACCTGGTTACTAAATTTACTCAAACTGGACCTGTTGCAAATAAAAAACGTGATTATCGGAGAGTTTTAGATCAAGCCGCTCAAGTTGAAGTTTTGGGTCATTTTGGAATAGATCCTGATACTTCATTACGCAAAGTTGTTGCTGCGATTGGTATTTCATTAGGCTCTGTACACACTGTTACTAAACTCCATAAATTTCATCCATTCAAAATGAGAATATTGCGAGAATTAACCGAAGATGATTTCGATAGGCCAGTTGAGTTTTGTGAACAAATGACTGCAGCGATTAATGATAGTACCATTCATGTAAAGAATTTCTGATTCAGCGATAAACGCACATTCTATCTAAAAAGATTTGTTAATAAGCATAACTGCAGGTATTGAAGCAATGAAAATCCTTATGCTTTTGTAAAAGGGCTTACTCAGTACCCCAGAAAGATGTATGGGCAGGCATTTTAGGAAACAATGTGATTGGGCCATTGTTTATTAATGGGAATTTGAATGGAGACATTTGTTTGGATAGGTTGGAAAATACCATCAATCTGCTCATCACTGAAGCCATTGAAAACCAAATCGAAGAGGATGGAAACACTATACTTGATGAGGCTGACATATATTTCCAGCAAGACGACGCTCCTCTCCACTATGTTCTTCCCGGTCGGCAATGGCTAGACGACGAGTTTCCAGATAAATGGATAGACTGAAGAGGGTCTATAGAATAGCCTGCTATATCTCCTGATTTGACGCCATTAGACTTTTTTCTATAAGGCTATTTGAAATCTATTGTATTTCCTCCCCAACCTAAAAGTTTGGATGAATATTGTCAACGAATCATCGAAAGCTGCCATGATATCCTATAACATGTTTTTGAAAATGTCCGCCTGGAACTTGAACATCGTCTATATCATTGTTTGGCCAATAACGGGCAACATTTTGAACACTTATAAAAATGATATTGTCGTGCGTTTTTGTTTTCTATCTGAACAAATTAAGGTAAATAAAGGTTTTCCTAATTCTCTTGAAAAATCAAACGTCAAAATAAAGGACTTCTAACGACCTTTCAAACAAGCTATTACCCGATACCCGTTGTCATTTAAAATTTTTAAGAGAATGATCCTGGGGGGCATAGGGTGAAAGGGGGTAAAGTAGTTTTTGGTTAAAAAGTTGTACTTGAAACATCTTTTGACGTGTAGGTCTGCTTTTTTCCTTTAAATCAGTGGTTTTCGATAAATCCGTGACGGGAAGTTTTCAAATGAGCACACTGTATAATTGTTGTGTCGGAGCCGCAATGCTGACATACCTTCTCCGGGACACATCGCCTGCATCAGAGTACCTTAAACCTCTACCTGTTGCCCATATGACATACTATTTATAAAAAAAATGCATAGCAATTACGCTACTTAACCTTTGATTCATGATTCATTTGATAAGATTTTATGACTATTTATAAGTGAGTTGACTGAGTTTCATATATTAAATACCAATTTTTCCTAATCTATCAGGTATTCAAGCAAGTCATTTGATGTTATTTTTGTAAATTTTATTCTATAAATGCACGTAGTCTAATGTATAGCTGTAATTGGTCAATTAAATAGCAGTACCTCTGTGACTGAACAACACGCGAACAAAATCCTCTATATACGTATCCGTGATGTTCCACTTCAGTAATCATTTCCCAATGATGCAAGTTGTGTTGTTAGTGCTAGTGGCAGGATATGTATCTGGTGCGAATATTTTAATTCTGCAAGATATACCGTCTCCTAGTCATTCAATTTGGACTGCAGAGCTAGCTAGGGGACTGGTGAAGAGAGGACATAATGTTACGAGAGTGGCACCAGGAAACTTTAGGGAACACAATAGGGGAAAGGATTATCATGCTATCTATTTTGAAGGTAAATATATCCTAGTATTTTGGTTGGCATTTCGTCTGATTAAAAATAATGCAGCCGTCACGGACAGAGTCCATTATAAGGCTTAAGATTGGTTGAAAAGTACAGAGGCATAAATGAATCGGTCATTTCAGAAACTACCACTTTTAATTAAAAATCATTTTCTTGACGGCGGCATTTTAAAATCAGTACCTAGAAAAGTACATCTCAAAATAGGTGACGTATTAGTATGTCAATATTTTCAATAATGAGCAACAAAAATATAGTTAATATTATTATTTCGCTTAAGGTATAATCGCTAACCCAATTTCTTGCTAAATCGTCATATTTGTGGTTTCAATCTCTTAAGACTCTGATACTTTACTAAGCCCAAAAAAATCTTTGAAACTGGTTCATTTGTCATTGGCACAGCATTTATTGTCTCCAAAAAAATACAAATTATGTGATTTATCTGACTTTTGAAAGTACTGATTCAGTCTGAAAGCCATTTTTTCATTTTGTAACCTCGGCAAGAAGCTACGAACGTTTTTCAACTGTATTTACAATTGAAATGGTATATTGTAAATTTACCCAGATCAAAGAAGTGTGTCAAAGTATCTTCAACTCATTAATATAAATCAATGCACTACAATAAGGATGAGAAACTATAATTTCGTAAGACAGTCACTCTAATGCTCTTTGCGATATCTGTAACTTAAAGAATGAGTTAGCTTCCAACATCTCTTACCCCGTTGGAATTAAAATGACTAGAAAGACGAAACATGTAATAATGTAATTTTATAATAATTTTGACGCCACATTATTTCTTTCGGCTATTCCTAAAAATGATCGAAAGCTTGTGAAGCACTGGAAAATGGAGTTTAGAGATATTCTGAACTTTCTGATTTCAGCTACAACTGTATAGCTACAACACCGACTTTGTTGAACCACAAATCAATCAATTGCAATCCAAGTAGTGAAGCGTCTTTTCATTCTGTTTCAGGTGTAGGCGGAGGTGAAGCAGTAATAACAGATTTAATTCAGGCTTCAACGTACAAAACAATGCTACTGTTCTACGAGTATGATATAGAAGCATGTAAAGCAATTTATCAGTCAAAAGGACTGGAAAAATTGCTAGAATACCCCAGCGATTCCTTTGATGCAGTAGTAATAGACATAACTTTGGGTGGTTGTCTTCTGCCATTAATAAAAAATTCAACTATCCACCTACAATTGGTGTAACTCCCTTTCTGTTTCCGTACTACTTAGCACTGGATTTCGGAAGCACGATTGGACACTCGTACATTCCAGGATTCCTAGTACCATTTAGCGATAATATGAACTTCTTTGAAAGGCTGACCAACTATTTCTGGATAAACCTGGATTTGCTTTTTAGGAAGTGCTACCTCAAAGCTGAAGTGCAAAAGCTAGCTGCAGGTAGATTTGGGGACAGCGTGGGTGATTTGGAGGACATCAGAAAGCACGTGTCTTTACTGCTGAGCAATGTAGACATGACCCTTCATTACCCTCAAGAGTTAGCTCCCAATGTTATACCGGTCGGTGGCTTACATGTCCATAGAGCTGGTCAACTGCCTCAGGTATGTGAGCGGAAGTAGGTTAAAGTGAATGCAAACACTCTGGATGCTCTGAAAGCATCAATATTATCTGAAACGCTAAAAAATGAAGTTTGAGCGATTTATTGCCCATAGATCCGTCGCCATTAGATCGATTCTTAAAAACTACAAAGCATTTTCATCCTTGCCCTAGTAGTAACTTTCAATTTTCAACCTTCATAAATTTTTTCCTATATATGATCAGAGTCATCTCAAACGTCAAAAAAAGAACAAAGTTTGAGCAAATGTGTGTGTGTTTTTGCACACAGCCCGTTCAGCATTGCATCGATTTTCCAAGACTATAAAAACTTTTCGTCCTTGGTCTAGTATTAACATTATGTGAACATTTCATCTACATCCGAAAGGTACTATTCATGTTATAGGCGAGACAGAGACCAAGAGAAATGAGTGACATGGTTTTTCGTGATGTACAGGTCATGCAACATCCAGAAAACATACCAACTTTTGAAAATTTTCGCGATCACAATACCACTTAGCCAGTGTCGTAGGACGTAGAAACCTCCTGGCATCGAGAATAATGGTACACAGTTTTTCAAGCAACCATCAATCAATCGATAGAGCCTAGCAATTATGGAAATTGTCTTCAAAGTTGGTTGCAGCATTCACTGACTGATCGAAAATAGCGTGAATACATGCAAAATAAGTAAATATTCAAATTAAGTGAAAAAATCTCGTGAAGTGGGTTGACCTTGCGCTTCCCAGGCAACGCTGTCATGAGTTCATGAAGAACGTTCGGTAAGGTTAGACGCTCTTATTAAAGTTTAAGAAAAGCTTAAGTACGAATATGTGATACAGAGAAATGAAAGGGAGCAGGCTTATACAGTTAGTCCATAGACATATTTTCTTTCCTGTCCCATCTGGGCACGTCGCTCCTTCTCTATACTCGTACTTCTCTTACAACTAGATAAATCTACGCGGGATCGGAAGACTATAATAAATATACTACCGCCAAAGCAATCAGGTCCCATAACCCTCAAAACCCAAATTATCAACCCTTCTGAAGTTTTTACTAAAAAAGATCAAGAGCCTTTATAAAGTTAAAAAACGAAGTTTGAGCGATTTTTACAAAAACTTTTCGTCCTTGGCCTTTTAGTAATGTTGTGTAAACATTTGATCCTTATCCGAGCGGTACTGTTCATGTTGTTGACGGGCCAATGATTAGATGACACATAAAGAGACCGATAAAAATGAGTGACATAGTTTTCCGTAACGTAGATGTCAAATAAGGATGACATATGACTTCGTCCACCAGTCGGATTGGAAAAAAAAACAGTTCGAGTAATCGAGAAAAATATGTGTATAGAAAACACTTTTCAATCTGTTCAGCAGGGGGGCGAAGGGCAAGTGCATATAATTTCTTTAGAAAACGAATTGCTCTTTTATTACTAATCAGTTCCAATAGCTGTGCGGTGCGGTTCCGACTGTCATTTTATCGTTATACTTTCCAGCGATTGAATTCCTGATAGACCGGAATGAGCATTTACAGTGCAACTGATCGTGGATCGTAGCTAGCAAACATTATTTTAATTATTTATTTGGTTGACTGTATCTGTACGTGATAGTCAGAAATGCATTGTAGGAAATAACCGAATAGCGCATCTGCGCAAACCCAGTAGAACTCCGAATTGTCATGATTGGAAGACTGTTTGTATTTTATCTGATCCTGTCGGTGATTTGTCTTAATTATTGTGTATTTAAGGATCTGCAGTCATTGCTGGACAATGCAAAGAAAGGCGTAATTCTATTTTCACTGGGCACAAACGTAAGATCAGATCGCCTGAATCCTGAAATCAGGGACGCTATAATAAAGGCTCTGAGTAGATTGGAACAAATTGTTATTTGGAAATTTGAAACGAACTTGACCGAGGTTCCATCGAACGTGATTATAAGACAATGGGTTCCACAAACAGAAATATTAGGTAAGTTGTTCAGTTTTGATATAGGCAAGCACCTAAATGGAAGAGAATAGCATAACTCGTCGTACGGCACTGAGTGGACGTGGTATCTAGTCTAATCATATTAGCAAATTTCCCAGAAATAATTGTAAAGTCTGGTTTTAATGCTGCAAGTTGTTCAAGGAGGTATTCAACACATGGACGCATAAAATGGGTATATCAATATTGTGGGAAAACTTTTTATTTGACAACAAAGAATAAGAGTTTTTGGGATTCAATCGAATGTGTTGACAGAAACGAAAAAACTTTTTGCATAAGATTTTCAGATATTTATGAGACCTATAAAATGAGAGCACACCTGAAAAGGTCCGACTAACAGCAAAAATGTTATGACCGAAAAACGAGACAAAATGCAGGTTTTGGCACTTGTTGGTAATGCGACGATAACTTCACGCAACCACCTGAAATTTTTTAAATCCGTAGGATTCCTACTTCTAAATAACAGCCACAAAATTGGAGAATATTGGCTAAGTAGTTTTTTGAGAATTTCTAATTACTTATCCCAACGCACCTGTTTTCCGGCCATCATTAATAGTTTATTGAGCAATATATAGGGTTCGTGCAAAGAGCATTTAATAGGAAAGTATACGTGTTTACCTTGCCGATATTAATTATAAACCATTCTGAAGGTTAAATATTATTTTTATGCGAAAAACAAAGGTCACGTTTTCTCTTCCAAACAAATTCAACATTTCGTATTTGTGAATAATTGAACAAATGCGTTACGGTATTCGAAAAACATACGTTACTATACACATTTTAAAACAAATCGGATGTGTCTATCATTTTTTTGTTGCGAATGACTCACAAATACGAGTTGTTTGAATTTGTTTAGAAGAAAAAACGTAACCCATCCTTTTTGGCATAAAAATAACATTTATCTTCCGGAGTGGTTTGCGATTCATATCGGCATTGCAAACTAGTCTGTTTTGCTATAAAATGCCGTGTGAACTAACGTTGTATACTAAGTGACATATAAATCCGAACACCCAGTTTAAATGGTTTTATTTAAATAAAATTTTGTATAAGTACTTAGTGAAGCATAATAAGTAAATGATAAAAATTTCAAAATGATTGCAGTGCTTTAAAGCCCTTTGACCTTTAATAATGTGTTGATGCACCCTGATGTGCTACGCATTCTCCAACGCGCCAAGGCATGCTTCTGATCAGGTGGTCAATGTCCTCCTATAGTATCTCATTCCAGGCAACCACCAACTCCTCTCGAAGTGCTTCTAGAGTCTGAAGAGGACGTTGAAAATTGAGCAATCTCCTACCCATCATATCCCACACGTGCTTAATTGGGGATAAGTCGGGAGATCTTGGTGGCCATGGTAACAATGTGACATCATTATGTTAAAAGAAGTCTATTGTGACTCTTGCAACATGTGGTCGGGCATTATCTTGTTGGAAAGTTGGATCTGCCAGGGTGTCAATATAGGGTAAAAGATAGGGTTCTAGAACTTCGTGGATATAACGCTGCGCGTTCATGTTACCTCTGGTGAAGATTAGAGGTGACCTGGAACCATAAGCTATAGCACCCCAAACCATAACTCCAACAGTGTGATGAACATGTCTTTCAACAAAAAACTGTGGATTCCTCCTTTCACCACGTCGCCTTCTAACCCTGGCACGACCATCGTGCATGCCTAAACAAAATCGAGACTCGTCACTAAAGAAAATACTGTTCCATTCCTGATCCCAGAGTGACCGTTGTCTGCACCACTCAAGGCGATTACGTCGGTGTTCTCGAGTTAAAGGGAGGACCCAGTGTGGCCGGTATCAAAACAAGCCAAAACTTCTCATTCGTCGGTAAACACTTCGCATGCCAATAGGTCTTCCGTGTTCTGCAAACCATTCATTTGCAATGGACCTGGTAGTGGAGAAACGGTCTCTTAAGGCCAATAATCTTAGGCGGCGATCTTCACGGCCTGTTGTTCTACGGCAACGTCCAGTGCCCCTTGCGCTTTGCGTACGGCCTTCTCGAAGCCATGCCTGACAACACCTAACCACAGTGTCTTCACTTCTTTGCACTCTAACTGCAATTGCCCGAAAAGAAAGTCCAGCTTCCCGCAGTCCCACCATACGGCCCCTATCAAACTCACTAAGTTGACGAAATCGTACAGGTCTCCGTACTGTAGGCATCGTAACCGATCGTAAAGGATGTCAAGAACCAAAATCCGCCAACGTTGATTCTTTACTGCGGCTGAAATATTCATTTTTCGAGCGTTACTGTCCAACTGATAAGGCTGAAAATTTTTTCACTTGTTATTTACAGTAAGATAAATACATTCACAGACTTTTATTAAAATAAAACCATTTAAACTGGCTGTTCGGATTTATATGTCACTTAGTATATATTGCACAATAAACTAGAAGCGATGGCCGGAAAGCAGGCATTTTGGGATAAATAATTACAAATTCTCAAACACTACTTGACCAATCTACTTCGATTCGGTTGTGGTTATTTAGAAGTACGAATCCTTGGGATTTGGAGAATTTCAAATATCTGCGAGAAACCATCGTCACATTACCAACAAGTACCAAAACCTGTAGTTTGCCTCGGTTTTCGGCCATAACTTTTGCTATTTGTCGGTTCTTTTTACGTGTGGTCTCATTTTGTAGGTCTCATAAATCTTATATTAAGAGTTTTTTCGTTGCTGCCAACACTTTCGATTGAATCCCAAAAAACGCGTTTACTCTTTCCTTGTTGTCGAATAAAAAGTTTTCCCATAAAAATTGGTGTACCCATTTTATGCGTCCATGTTTTGAATACCTCCTTCAAGAACTTGCAGCAATAAAACCAGACTTCACAATTCATTCGCCTAATATGATTAGACTAATCTGTGTGAATCTCGTCGTACTCGAACACCGCGTTGTTAGTTCATGGGTCACGCTACTCTTTTCTATTTTGATTTTTAACAATAGCATGAAACCATATGAAAATATGAAAAAATGTTTTCAAGGATAGAATTCATTGGTACTAATAGAAGGATCATTATAAAAATCCATTATGAAAGTTCACATTTCAGCACTAAACCTTGATAGAGTTCAGATGAAATCTTCTCGAGCTGTCCACTTCCCTAATAAACATTTACTTCTAAGGTTTTTTAATCGAAGCATATGTATTAACCCTAAGGGGAATATCAGACGATCAGTATTCACTGTAGTCCGTACCAGCAATAGTTACCGATGTCCAGGCTGCACACTCAATAAATTGATATTTATTCCATACTCTATTATAAATATTGGCGGATCGGAGTGAATACTGATCTAGTGACGTTCGCCAACACCTTACCGCAACCTCATATTCACTGTTTTGTATATTCTTAGCAGTATAAAAGCAAAAATTGTTTCAAAAATATTTTAATTCAAAATAACTCAATTTTTTCATGAGAAATTGTCATTATTTACCGAATTTATATAAGGGGAAATTACATATTACTGTTCACAGATAGTGATAATGACAAAAACATAGGTGAATAATGAATGACTTTAGTTTGTTGGACAAAAAGTTGTCAATGCTATTACACCCCCTTATATATACCAGTAATTATTACTTACTACGAGTAAATACTGACTCATTTTATAATTGAAATTATTGTTAATGATTTATTTATTTATCTCATCATTATGACCGCTTTGTCACGGTGATCGATAAATCCGAATTTTTGAAAGTGTCTGAGTCGAGGTACCGAGTATTGACTACTATTTTATCATATACTGACAGCGTTTCTCCCCTATTCACCGTTCGATAATGCAGACATTGCGTCGGATATATTCTGGCTATGTTGCCGGACGTTAAGTAAATTCTCAGATATGCCATCTATATTTCACAGTCTCATAATAGTGGTGAAAGCGTAGTTTTCAGAGTGTATTACATAACTTGAAAAGTGACACTATGTCGTTTTTTTATATTATGTAGGCTTTTTTATGACAATATATAGATTTTCCTAAAATACTACAACGGAGAAGCTGTCGTTCACTTCAAGCTCACTTGTAGCAAGCGCGGAATGAACTGTAAGCACACTAGCCTACTTAGTCAACAAGAGGACATTTTTTTGTTTTTTTTTTGTCGATATATAGACTTTTTAGGTAATAACCCTGCCGGTCTATTATTCTCTTCGCACATTATATCCGTAGGCATTATATGCTTGATGATACAAAGGTGCTGTGCTAATAATGGCATATTTTTGCACCAAGGTATGTACTCGTAATGTGACATTGTTATATCAACATGAAACTACAGTGCCTTCTTGATGGGATAAGCATTCACTGAGAATTGTGTGTGTAGAATAATATACAAGAAATTGTATCATTTTTTAAAAATGTTACTAAAATAAGAATTATTTTTATTTGAAAATTTGTTTTTCCTTTAACGTGTTGAAGTACATATTTTTAGAAGTCGGTCTCGCGGATGGAACGCACCTGAGAAAATGCAAAAATTATTTATATTCATCGGTATTTTAGGAAAAACTTAAAGATTTTTTATCCCAATCAAGTATTCCATAATTTATCCTGCAATTATGTTAGGGGAGAGATGGCAAAAAAAAGTTTTTTAAAGCAAGCAATTTTTCACCTGTAACAAAGAACTAAGAATTGAGAAATATTTATTCCGATTGGAAATATGCCGTTTCATACGTCTTAACGATATTGTCGTCTTAAGATTCAAAATAAAAGCGTCCATCCCACGTTTATCCCCTTGTGTTAAGTACGGTTCAGAATAAAAGTCGTGAGAGGAAGGAGCTTCAATATCATTTAAAGGTTGATATGTATGAAATATCATTATTCCCAATTAGAAGAAATTATTTGTCAATTGTTAGTTCATTTTAACAGATAAATAACAGCTTGTACTCAGAAATATTTTTTCTCATTTATGTATGTTTTACCTTTCTGTCATGCCAAATAACTGGGTTAATAATCTCTAGCCAATTTACATATATTCTCATAAAATATTTTACTTTATCTCTATTATAATATTTGGTCGATATAAACTATATATTAAGTAAATACGAAAGGCGCACTTATCAGTACCCTGATCGTAAAAATAAAGCGTGCCTATATTTCAATGTATTATGCAATGATAAGAAGCTGATATTTGATATGGTTATTATGGATGAGTACTTGTTTTACGTAATAGCCGATTAACTGAGTCATCCGACCATGAGGCCAAAGAACAAGAATAAATAATCAAACATGTCCCGATTCGATGGGCTTGTGTCGACTTATTACAAAGTTCTCATGGCCAGCTCCCAACTCCGTCATAATATCAGCACCATAACATAATAATGTCGCATTGTCATATTAGTCGTCCACCATATTGGACGCCCTTTGCTTATCAAGCTTTTTAATTCGATACCCATATCATGCATGTTACTGTGGTAATGGTGACTATGGAAATTATTAATCACCATTTTGTGACCATCGCCAGATTGGACTTAGAGTGGCTTTTGTTTGCTTATTTCTTTTCAGGTACACTTTCATTTGATACCTATGAAATAGAGGTTACTATGTAAATGATAAATCTTCATTTTGCGGCGGCTGCCATATTCAGTTTAAGATGACCTCAATTTCTTAGTTGTATTTCTTTCATAAAACCCTTTCATTTGATATCCATACCATAGGAAGTTAGCAAATGATAAATCACCATTTTGTAGCATCCGCTATATTGAATTCAAAATGGCGGCGTTCAATTCATTATTCACGAGAATATGTAAAATTGCAGGTTAATCAGTCAAGGTTAAGTAGTTCAAAAGTTAGTCTCAAGATTTGTCCCACACATACTAATAAACAATTACAAATAAGTCGAGCTATAGAAAAGCATATAAAAGGAGCCGATTCGCTATCAAATATCTACATAAAAAAAAATGTAAAAAGTGATTTTTGTAATACAAGATGGATGCAAAGCTTGTTTTTCTGTCACGACCCTTGTTATTGTAGGGTATTGACATATTTTCACCAAATATCTTGCCAAAATTTTACCTTTGGACTACTGAAATTTTGTCTTTCACTATTCATTAACGTTATTTCAGCACACCGAAACACGAGGCTCTTTATAAGTCACGGAGGAGGTCTAAGTACGATGGAAGCAGCATACTATGGAGTTCCTGTACTAGGTATACCATTCTTTGTCGACCAGTTCATAAATTTAATAATGATGGAAAATAAAGGAATAGCTAGGCAGATCAGTTATCCCACAATCTCTGAGGATATCGTATACACCAATATTAGGGAGATGTTGGACAATCCAAAGTAAGTTTTAATCAATGAGTAAATGCTGTAAATGATGTAGCGATACCGAAAACACCGTGACAGTTTAAGTGTTGTAAATGTTCACCTTCCAGATCATGCAATTTTAATCTAAAATAGGTCCAGTGTACCTTATGCATTATAATAGAGATGTAAAATAAACTATGCTTTTAGGTACGCAGAAAATATGAAAAAAGCGTCGAACAGGATGAAAGATCAACCTCAAACGCCTCTAGATCGTGCAGTTTACTGGATAGAATATTCTATCAGGCACAATGGAACACATTTTCTAAACCTTAAATCAAGGGACTTACCGTTGTTTGTAGCAAGCGGCTTAGATATTCATTTATTTCTGCTACTAGTAGGCTGTTTTATTATTCTAGTTGTGACTAAAGTATTTAGGTATTGTATAAGTTGCGCTACAGGTACATCAAAGATTAAAACACAATGACGTGCACGTGTCCGATCTTTTAATAACATCCATTGACACAAATTGTACTTTAGTCAGAAAATTCACTTTGTCATACAACCTGTGGGCGTATTATGACACGCGACATTTTTCGACGCAGAACAGCATTTCCTATATACACTACCCAAGTTATTTGCTACACAAAAAAAAACAACCCTTGGTTGAATCTCGTGTCGACAATTTTTTGTTATCAAAGTTATAAAAAAAAATCTTACAAAATAATGCTTCTATTTTTGAACGACTTGCCAGATTTTCATTAAAATCCAGATTTAGTAATCTACAAATCAAAGACTTAATCTATCAGCTTCAGCAACATAGTTACCGATTGGAGTTTTTGGATCTCGAGTCATACACAATCGCATTATAGCGTGTTCGCTTTCTTTAGGTTGCGACGTAACCTCCCCCCATGTTAACTTCTCCCATCGATTAAACAGATGAACTAACATACATCAAACATAATACTTTACTAACCCTGGCGAAAAAACCTGCTGAGGCAATGATTTTCATTTGAAACCAGTCCTACAACAGTGGTAGAACTATAGGCACGCGTAATTTATAGATATAAACTAAATACTACATGAAACTTAAATACCATATCGCAAAGCAATATTTTTTTTTCATACTACAACTACCATGAAGGCCTAAGTCCTAAACACCCATGGGGTACCGTGGGGCTACAGGGGGATACAGGGAAAAGGGGGAAAGCCACACGGACTCTGCCGAGGGTACACGTGTGCATGCAACATGCGCACATTCTGGCCCCGCCTACGAGATCCGCCGGGTGATAACTGTGCGTTTGACGGTCAGAGACTGTCTCCTACCTACGGACAATCACAACATCCACAGCAAAGAGAAAAATTTCTCTTGGGACGGGATTCGAACCCGCACAGTGCACGGCGACTGATCAGGAGACCGAAGAGTCTACTAGGGCGGCCACCGTTGCTGTCCAATAATATGGAAGCAAATACAGTATTAAAACCAGAAGGAACTGTTACCTCATTATTGTGGAATGTCAATGTATGACAGCGAGCAATCGAAGATGCAAAACCAAATATTTGAATTTCAAAATTACTAAGTATATAGAATAACAAAATAATAAGAGGAAAAGGACGAAATAACATAAACTTTGGCTTCATATGTGAACATTTATATTACAATAAGCCATAACACAGCTGAGACCCATCTCATCAGACAAGAATATATTAATAAACCGCACTCAAATCTGTTCATCCGTTGGGAATGAAGCCGCAGACAACCAGACGCATAGCTGTTTCGGAAGCTGGAGGCATACCAGCGGATATGGACAAATATTCGCGGTATCGCAGGGTTTTTCTTATTAAGGGACCCCTTCCAGAGCTATTCTCTCACGTCCCCTTATGCGTGCATGCAGATCTGATGAGACTCAACGTCTGCCATTTCAGCAAAAATTACTATGACCCAAAATTTACGAACAAATCGAATTTCAAATACAGGAATTTAAATCTACTCATGTTCAAAAAGAGCAACATTATTTCTGAACAAGGCATATTAGTCTATCGTGAAATTTCCCACTGATACTCCATAGAGCCTCCGTAGTTCTTAATGTTACATTTTATTGCTTTAACATGTTATGTTTTTACGCTGTATTCCTATTTGTACTGTGAAGTATTTGTACTGACTAATATTCCATTGTTTTGAAATAATAATAATTGTTAGCACAACTTCGTCGATTAACGTTAATAAATGAATTTGAATTATGAAATTTTGTTTTTGTAGAAATAATCGAAACCGATGGTGATTTGTTCATTTCAAGATTTGTCGATGTGTAAAAGCTTTCTGCTTTCCTCTATTGTACTTTTATCGGTTCTCGTCAATCGGGTATTTTCCTCACTATTCCGTCGTTCAACGTGAGGTTTAGTGTTATACTTACTGACGGCTAGTAATGAATAGGCGATGAGTGAATTGACAGTAAAGATCCTCCCACTAGTAAGAGTTACTTGTACTTTAACAACAAGTGCCGACGATACGGTTCTTTTATTGCAAAGCTCGTTCAACGACTCAATACATTTGCAATAATTACGGTATAAAAATAAATTTAAAGAAAACCAAATACAGGATTTTATCCAAAAAAAATCTTAGAGTTGAATTGCAGATACCTAACTCAGAAATTGAACGGAATTGTAGCGACAAATGCCTAGGAGCAATGATCACAGAAATCGTAGATCAAACGAAAGAAAGTAGGAATTGCTCGTACAGTCTTTAGCAGAATGAGAAGATATTTCTATCCGCAATATAGACATAAATTTAGATATTTGAGTTCTTAAATGCTATGTGCTGTGGGCTATGAAATAGTCAAATACAAAAAATGTGCAGACATTTGGGAGGTGGTGTTACCGACGCGTTCTGAAAATATCATAAATTAACCGTATAACAAAAGCCCAAATCCAACAATGGCAAGATAACTGCGACTTACTCACTGGAATAAAAATAAGAAAGCTGGATATCTAGAACACAAGATGCAGGGCTAAATTAAAGAAAAAAATTATGATTTCGCGGGCTGCGTGAATAGTTTGGTTGGACTTCTATTGAACTAAACGTGCAGCTAATAAAGTTGTGGTTGTTATGATAGTTTCCAATCTCCAATAGTAGTGCTACGAGAAGAAAAAATACTTATCTTACAACACTGACTATAAAGTAGAATATGTTCAGCTAAACATATTTCTAAGAGCTTACTCAGTACTTGTTTGAGTATGACCATATTTATGGATGGATGACTATACCTATATGTTACATAAAGTAGTTCATAAATAGAAAAGACACACGGGGGACTATCTTAATTAAGGTTAGTGCGAAAAGGGTTTCCAAGTAATCCTACTCAAGACGTGAAGAAGTGTCGACAAGTTTATGGTGATTATGAAAAGTTTTTTCACAACTGGTCCGCAAGGGTCGTCTGTAATTAATATACCGCCTTTTCTTGGAAAGTTATTAAATTCTGTTTACTGCGGAATTAAATTAGGAAAAGATAAGTAATGGGTGTTTATTTTTGGTGAGTTTTCTCGGGAGAAGGTGCTGCGTGATATTTCCTAATTCAATATTAAGGAGCCTTAATTGTTGGTATAGATCTTTCTTTTTTAAAATAGCTCATCAAATGTGTATATAAGCTGTTCTGTGGGGAAGGCGACATAGTGAAATGGCGGGTAGTAAGGGCCGAGACAGTTTCGTATCTGGAAATAAAATAGTTCGAAATCTATTTTTTACGGAAATCCAGGATGATTTATCGACACAAGTCAAGTTTTGAATATCAGATATTATAAACTAGTCCGTACTCGATCTTCTAACTTGTTTGCATTTGATCAAGGTGTACAAAAGAGTCCAGTAATTGGTACATACCAATTAGCAAAATCGGTTGATTGTGCCTCTTCAGGTTCTGTTGAATTATATGAATTTAATCAGTATATATGACACAAAAAGTCAATATTTCAAACATCAGCAGCTTGATTTCATCAGGATTTTACAAAATCTGATACGCATTGAGCTAAATATATTTTGAGAACTTAAAATTTCATGGTCGAATTTATTTTTTATTAGTTTATATTTTATTAAGTGAAACGCCCTGTAACTTATACTCCGAATTTATTTTTATTTCACATAAAACAAGAGCAGAAAGTGATATGAATAAAAGGCAAAATTAATTATGTATATACGATTTACTTTTTTCGGTATAAGCAAATTTGCCAAGTTTGAGTTTCCAGGCCAACTTGAAGTTAAGTTAAAAATCAAAACAAAAATCAAGTGCTAAAGTTGACATCTTACTGTGATGCCTTGGTGGGCATGTGAACCTAACTATGCAGAAAATCCTAAGGCTGGACCTATATTTTAGATTTTTTGCATTTTTTTTGCATTTGTAAAATAATTTTGACTTAGCCTGGGGAGTTTTGAGAGTCTTGAGTGGATTTGCATACTAAATGCACTGCATTTAAAGCAGAACTCATGTTGTGCAGCATCAGGTAGTATATGGCTATTTGAAAATGGTATAGAAGAAAGTAAGCCACATAAACAATTAATGAAAATGGTATCTCAACAAATAAAAATCTTTAATCAAATAACCATAAAAGGCGCAGTCAGTCTAATTTTCTTATTAATAAGCACTATTTGCTGGCTCGCAATAGCACTGGCAGGTTTCCGGTATTCGTGTTATATGGTTAGTATCGTAACTTGGTCTTCTGTCGTGGTTCCCTTTCGTAGTTTACGCGCAGAGCTTTAATGTTTCTCTTTTGCCTACGCACTACGTAAGCTTGAAAACATACACCCAATATGCTTATTAGATTCAAATACATTATACAAAGCTCTTCGTCAGCATGTTTATCAACACTCGCATGAGGATACCGTAGTAGTTGGTTTTCCGTATAATTTCAGGATAATCAGCACCCCACTAACCTGCCATGTTTAACCCAAACATTTGCTTCATACGCAATAGTATTAGGTAGCTAGGGAACGCTGTCAATTTAATCTACAGGAAGGATTCAATACCTCGAATCCGGCTGCGTCCTTTCATTAATCCCTTAAAACGTTGGAACAGAAAAGGGTCACTCCAGCTGCCAATACTGCGGACAAGCATGTGCCAATCTGCGGACCTAATCGACTGGAATAATTCGATGTCACTTTGGACTAGGGATTGGGAGGATACAAAATAGCTGGGACGTACTTTTCTTGGATTCAAGTCACTGAGACAAT